CAAAGGTGTCCCCCAGCCCCCAGGGGTGTCCCCAGCCCCCAGGGGTGACACAAAGGTGTCCCCCAGCCCCCAGGGGTGTCCCCAGCCCCCAGGGGTGTCCCCTCCCCGCGCTGTCACCTTGAAGGCCTCGAAGATCCTCTTGAAGAAGACGAAGTTGGGGTCGTAGATCTCGGGCTCCTCGCTCACGTACTCGATCTCCACCTCGGGGGGGTCCCCGGGGGGGGGCTCGGGGTCCCCCCGGCCGGGGGTGGGGGGAGGGGGCCCCTCACGGGCACCGCCCCTCCCCCGCTTCTTCTTCTTGCGGTTGCGGCGCTTCCGGTTCCGCTGGGAGGGGACAGAGAGGGGACAGTGAGGGGACACAAGGGGACAGAGAGGGGACAGAGAGGGGACAGTGAGGGGACACGAGAGGACAGAGAGGGGACAGTGAGGGGACACGGAGGTGGCACAGGTCCCTCCCGTCATGGGGACCAAGCGGGGACCCCAGGGAAAGCCCCCTCCCCAAATGGGAGAACACAAGAGGGGACAAAGGTGACACCGCGGTGACACAGGTGACCCACTTAGGGGGGACAAAAAGGGACATTGGGGTGGCACCAGGAGGGGACAGAGATCCCCAGGAGTGGGGACAAAAGGGGACATTGGGGTGACCCCAAAGTGACCCTGAGAGAGGGGACAAGGCTGCCACCACAGTGCCACCACAGTGCCACCGGTGACATCACAGCGCCACCAGTGACACCAGAGCCACCCCAACCCCCCCCCAAATAAACCCACCCCTCACTGTCCCCCCCCGGGAATTTTGGGGACCCCCCCAGGTGCCAATTTGGGTGGGGGTGGCCTTTGTCCCCATTGTCCCCTCCCTGTCCCCTCTGTCACCTCCTTCTTGGATGTCCCCGTGTCCTCCTCAGCCTCGGAGGCCGACGCCGACGCCCGGAGCTCCGTCTCCATCTCGTCCTCGGCTGGGGGGACACGGGGGGGGTCAGGGGTGTCACCGCCACTCTGGGTGTCCCCAACACCTCTGAATGTCACCCCCGACTCCGGGTGTCCCCCCCAGCCCTGGGTGTCACCCCCTCCCGGGGGTCCCCAAGACCTCTGAATGTCACCCCCCTCCCCCCCCAGGATGTCCCCCCCCACCCCTGGGTGTCCCCCCCACCCCCAGCAGCACCCCCAGGGCCCAAACCCCATTTCTGGGGGGATTTTGGGGG